CAGAACTGGCAGAACACACTTGTGGGTGTGTGGAGCGGGCCGCGGGGCCATGGCTTTGAGGTCTATGTCTGGTCCTTTGCAGCTTCCTCTCCGGCACTGTGGCCTCTCTGTGTTTCTCCACTGCCGAGAACTAAGCGGTTTTGCTCTGGCCTGCTTTTCTGCCCTGACATCCGGCCTTGAACCCAGTTGATTACAGGCTGTGTCAGGTATTGTGTCTCAGTGGATGGAAAAGTGACTAACACAGCTGCTTGTGACAGTCCACCACCACACTTAATTAGATTACCGCAGCGTCCACCTAGCTGGTCCCCCTGCTTCTGGCTTGTCTCGAGTATTAGCTAGGATGCTATTGGCAGCGAGAAAATGACAAAAACCGGCTTGCTGTGCCGCCTAATTGCAAATTCCTTGCAAGGGCCAGCCCGGGGCAGAACGGCAAGACTCTGCCGGTTTCTTGCATCTCTTAGCTTCACACTCCCCCAAGTGGTAGCTTCGCCCTCGGGCTCCTAGGTGATAACTGCATCCTCTCCTCCTATCCAGGCTCCGCAGCACCCAGGGGCAGAGAAGGCCGGCTCTTCTGTGCTTCACTCAGTCAAGGGGAGACCTGTCTGGGAGCCCCCAGGAGAGTCTCCCAGTGCACGATGCCATCAGAAGAGGTGATCCCTGGCCACGCTGGAGGAAGGGGGTGGACGTAGCAGGCTGAATGATCTTCCCCATGGACGCATCTGATCATCATCATTTTCCTGCCTAAAATCCTTCAGCAGCACCCCCGTACACTGGACCCAGCCCAGCTTTGTCTGCCTGCCCTCTATTCCACAGCCATCCCAAACTGCTTGTATCTTAAACATCTGTCATGCTCGCCCCTGTATCTCTTGCTGTGTGGCTTCTGCGGGGGTCCTGTCTGGAGAACACTGTTTCTTTTGCTTACTCAGCCCCACAAATGTCCCTGCTAACAGATCATTTTCTGTCCTCTCCCTCCTCCTGTTTCCTAGGCTGTGGAGGGAGAAGCTGGGACCGCCCTGGGAAGCTGCCTGGTATCCTGGGTCAGAACTCAGATGCTAGGTCAGGCAGTCGGGTTTGGCTTTGGCTTTGTGATCTTGGACAAGTGACTTGACTCCTCTGAGCTTTCTTTTCCTCATCTCTAAGCAGGAATGATACCGTAACTAATCCATGGAGTGTTGGTAAGGACCAGCGGGGTGACTTGTGTAAAGCAGTCAGCACACTGCCTGGCTCCATATCAGTGCTCAATGAGTGTTTGGGGAATGGATGGTGACGTAACAAATAGAACTGAGTCCCTCCCACCATTCTAGGGGTGCTGGGACGCAGTGCTCCATCACACTTGCCCAGATAGAGGGCTGTTAAGGCCAACCTTAGCATACCGGATTGAGGAAGATATAGAAGTATGTTGGTTTCTCAAATAATGCCTGCACAATAATGCCTGGCTATTGCTCGAATCCTACTATCGTAGGCTTACTGTTTAACTTTGGCAATCAAACAGTACTTTCTAAGATGGAAAGAAGTTCAGATAGTACAGCAGGAGCCGCACTTCATTTTCTGTTTCAAAAGACACAGCCCTGTGCATAGTCAAGGCATAGACAGGGGGTGCTACTGGAGAGGAACTCCACCGTGAGCCGGAGGGTGGGTGGAGTTTAGGCAGGGAGGGTGGGAAGGACAAGGCGACCTGGATAATGGGGAGAAGAAGGAGGGACTGGGCCACCCGGTGTAGACCAAGGACAGCCAGTGATGCTTTGGGTGATTACAGGGTCTTACAGAGGAAATCTTGGAGACTTTCCCATTGAAAAAAATGTGATTCCACTTGAGCTGGTATTTTATCATCCAACTTTAAAACCAGAAACCAACTGTAAATAAGAAGCTCAGAAAAACTAAATATTTTGACCAAAGTCATCAAGTTAGTTGCTAAGAGCGACTGTATACCCAGATCCCATGATCCTAAGTATAAATTCTGGTCCTCTTTCACCATCTATCAAACCACCTCTTCATTAGTTTAAAAGATTTCATTCCTTTTGAATAAGCTGCTGGTATAATGGAGTGGGGGAAGTCGTGGTTCTGCCGTAGGTGGGGGTGCCATCATGGGTGGAGGTGACTGGGAATGATGCGTGAATGGGAAAAAAGGGGGAGCTCTGAGAGAAACGGGGAGGTGGGAAATACATCGCTAAGCTTCTCTGAATACTGCTCATTCTGCAGAGTCAACCCAGTGCATTCACCTTGAAGTAGATGTGAGTAGTGTTGGAATCAAGAGCTCTAGCCTCTAGTGTCCTGTTACCAGGAGGCCCCTCAACTAGAACTCTGGGTTGTACAACCAGCACTTAGGAGACCTGAATTCCAGTCCCTGGCAGCCTCTGAGTCATGCTGTAGCCTTGGGAGAAACCACTCAGCCTGTAGAACCACACAGAACATTCGAGCATTCATTCTTAAGATGTTTGAGGACAGTTGCCACAACCTACCCCTCCGCCCAGCCCTACAGTTGTTTGGGTTAGATACCTTCCATTCTTTATCTATTCCTCGGTTCCATTTATCTTTGCTGCCCTGCTCTGGAGGAGTGGCGATCTGTCCATGTCTATCTCAGGGCACCATGAATAGAACAGAGGAGTCCAGTTGTGCCCGTGGATCAGGGAAATTGTCTCCTCCTCTTGCACTCTGGCTTCACTAAAGGCATGAGCGGGGTTGCTGGCCTGTTTGGTAGCTTTGTCTTTTTTTTTTTTTCCTCTATAAGCAAACACTTAAAAACAGGGTCTGGAGCTGCAAAGGAGGCCTGGTAATGTCATCTTTACACCGGGCCGTCACAGGCCCAGCTAACGCTCTGCAGTTCTAGTTCTGTAGGCAACAGAGATGGAGGGGAACGCGGCAGGCTTTGCCCCACTCCAGTCTCGCTTCCTCTCCAGACCTCTTCAGGGCTCGTCCATTCTCCAGATCTGAAATGTGAGTCACTTCTATCCTTCCCATTTCTTTTAGATTACTCACAAAATCCTATTCATTGGACTGTTTTAATCAAGTCTATTTTATTTTCTGAAATATTTTTCATCTGTCCCTTGCTATTTTTACCCTCAATGCCACCTGAATACAGAATCCTGTCAGTCTTTGGTTTCTCCAAACTGACCATGTCTTCCCACTTGCTTCTTGGCAGGATAGGAGAAGAGGGCCATCTCTCTCACCAGCACTCTCCAGCTTTGGATGTGGTCTTCTGCTGCCCTTAATGCGGATGCCTACTGAAAGCTGAAGCCAGGGTGGGCCCTGATGTTCTGACACACTGATCCGTTCACGGCTCCTGGCACTGCGACCTCCTGCCCAGGCAGGCTGGGCTCAGCCCCACTCACTCCAGTGTATGTCACCTTTCTTCTCCCAGCCCACGAGCTATGTTTTACAATTTTGTCATTTACCAGGACAATGGGAGCCTTTCAACTTATTTCTCTGAAAGCATTCTGTTCTTCTCTATCCAATTCCATGTAGACCTAAATGAATCCCCTTCAATAATGACTTAATTTAAAAAATAAATTATTCTTCAACTTAAAAGTTGAAGGACAGTTTGTTGCAGTCAGATTGTCACTTTATTTTATTTTATTTTTTGCAATACTGGGGATTGAACTCAGGGCCTCCCAATGAGCTACATTTCCACCCCTTTTTATTTTTTTGAGTCAGAGTCTGGCTTAGTTGCTAAACTGTCCAGGCTGGGCTTGAACTTGCAATCCTCCTCCCTCAGGCTCCCTGACAGTGGGGTTTACAGGTTTCAGCTACTGCCCTTGGTTTCTCGATGACAGGATCACAGCAGGCCATTCGTTATGGCAGGGACAGCAAAAGCATGTGCCTTGTCCAAGGCTGGTCTCCCCCAGTGGTGGAGATACTCTTTCCTGCTCAAGCCAGGTGAAGTTTTAGAACCCTTTTCCACAGTTGGCACCACCAAGTGACCAGAACTGGTAGAGGAGACCAATCTTACTTATCACGTCTAGCCTAAAAACTTACTTCCAAAAGCTGGGTTCTGACAGTCCTCTATCTCTGAACATTTTTCCCCCTCAAACCCTGATGGAAGATAGATTGAAGAGAGGGGAGGAAAATGGGAAAAAGATATCACACATACACATACAAATTCCCCTGTGATGAATGTGAACATCATCATACATATCTAAATTGTACCAATAAACTTAATTTTTAAAAAAATCTTGTAGGTCAATATAGGCAGACTCTGTTTCTTCAAATATAAGGTACACTCCTTGTTCCATTTTCTTTCTCTTACATGATTGGGTTCTGCTCAGAGTCGAGGCAGATACCATTCGTAGGTATTTTCAAGTCAAACAGATGTCAAAGTTGCTGATGGCTGAGTTCATGGCACAGAGAACCAAGGCCTGGAGGAAAAGCTAAACTCTCAAGACGCTGAGCGTGGTAGCTGAAGCCTGTAATCCCCGCTCTCAGGGAGGCTGAGGGAGAAGGATTGCAGGTTCAAGCCCAGCCTGGGCAGTTTAGCTACTAAGCTAGACCCTGATTCAAAAGATGAAAAGAGGGTGGAGAGGTAGCTCTCTGGGAAGGCCCTGGGTTCAATCCCCAGTACTGCAATAAATAAAATTAAAGCAAAATGCAATGCAATGAAAAAATGTCCCCAAGAAAAGCAGCAAAAGGCTGTAATCAGAAAGCTGTAGCCATCTGTGAGATCTAAGGAGTGAGGCGAGGGCACAAATGGAAAAGCCAGGGCTCAGGGTGCAGCAGGGGAAGCAGGCTGGGTTGCAGAGCCTAAGCTGGGACAAGGCCAAGGGTTTAGCACTAAGGTTGGGGAAATGTTTCCTGGAGCTGTCCAGACTTGCTCTGCTCAGGATCAGCCATCAGCACAGAACTGCGTGTGTGATATGCACTAGGGTATAAATAAGGAAAAGCATAAATCAAAGAAACACTGCCTAATCCCATGCTGAAATGCCATCTTAACAAGAAATCTCTGTAGTTTCCTCAGTCTCCTCTACCTAGTTTTATCCAAAAACATTGGCAAGCCAACTTCATACGACTGGGGTTTCTCCAGACGTCTTTAATATTGCATTTAGGCCAGACTAGAAAGGATGGTAGCCTATGTGCCTAATAGTGAAGCACATCTTCAAAAGTGGCAGATGGGAACAAGAAAGACCCCACAGGGGGACTTTTGTAGATGAGATCCGTATGACGCTTCGGTTCCCCCTCTGCTCCTGCCAAGCCTGGGGACAGGCCTCTTGCCACAGCTGCAAAAATTAACATCTCGTTCCTGCCAAGAACGAAGGTGACAAGCTGGACAGCTCTCCTTTGATTTGTTTTTCCGCCTGGCAGGAACATGCACCTTCTGACCAGGCATTTGTTTGTGGAATCAGCAGGACTCTAAAGGCGAAAGGTGAGGCGGGAAGAAGAAGAGGGCACCTGGGAGCAGAACAAAACACCAGGTGAGGGAAACAAGGCCAGTTCACATCCCTCAAGTTCACGGAAACAAGCTGACTCATGCCGCCCCGGGGGACAGCTCAGATTGTTTGCAGGCTCACTGTGAATCATCTAATGTGAAGGCAAGACCCTGTCTGTGCTAATCCTGTGCATTAAAACAAATTTGAGTACTTTGAAAAGGAGCTAATGAAATTGACCCGAATGGTCAGACAGCTCTGATAGCTGAGTAAGTACACCAAGGACAAAAGAGAAGCCTAGAGGTGTCCCCAGAAAGTACCTTTTTGTTGGCCTGTGGTTTTGCCCATGCGGTGCTCCATGTGGGGTGTGGATACCATAGTGGGCAGGTGGGGATTTAACCCCACCTATGCTGCCCTCCAGTCTTCCTTTGTGCCCACAGCTGTGACAAGGAGGATGTCCTCTTGCATACATGGACTGAAAGCTGTGTTTATGATCTTTTCTGCTTGATGAAGGACTTTCTTACTTCCTGGTTGTGGAACTGAGCATGCTAGGATGGCCAACTGATGGTCACTATCACTCAGAGTGGGAGTAGGCATTGGCTGAGCTTTGGCAGGCCAGCATTTACCCCACACTCCCTCAGTAGGATTAGAACCTGGTGCCTTTGGAGCTTTGCCTCTGTCCTTGGAGACAGTATGATGGAACTTGATGAGAGGGTGCATAACTCTTCCTGAGACAAGGAGGAAACTCACGGTCCGGGATCCTTCCTTGAACTTTCAGTCTTGGCCAGAAAGATTAACAGTTTGAAAAGAGTAAGCTCATTATGCCCAGAAGTAACTCCGAGAAAGAAAGCTGGGTTCTTCACACCGTAAGGATTCGTCCAGTTGTCCTGGTGCTAAGCTCCAGCTGTCTCTGAGTTTGATTTTTGAGTCTGGTCTTTTGCCTGTCCTATATCCTTTCAAAAATATCCCTTTTTGCTTAAGTTGCCAAGAGTCGGTATCTGCTACTTGCAACCAAAGAAGTCTGTTCAATACAGATTCAATGTATCCAAAATTTCTATTACATGTTCAAAAGGATGGAGATTATTCACAAACCCAGTAAACTATCTACATGAATGTTGATTAAGAAAATGCCTGTGTATTTTTACGAGGCTCATTACTCAACCCCTTGTCTTGATTTTTTTCCTTGCAAAGTCCTTCTTCTGATTAATTTTTGTTTATTTGGCCCCTTTTATCAAATATTCCCAAGGAATAATAAATGAATGGTATTGGGCTTCTCTAGAAGAATGAAATCAACAGAAAATACATGTATAATTGTGCAAGGGGATTTGCTAGGTAGGCTTACAGAGGTAGGAGGGTCCACACTAGCCATCTGTGTGCTGGAGAAACAGAAGATCTAGTAGTGGCTCAGCCCAAAAATTTGGAAGCCACAAACCAGAGAGATCAAGGATGGAGCAGCAGTCCAAAGTCAAAGGCCTGGAATCTCAGTGGTCAGTCTTCACTGGAAGGCACAGGAAGCTGGAGACCTGAAGATACAGGTCCAAAGGCAACAGCAGCAAGGACACACCCACTCAGGAAGCTCTTCAAGTGTGCATAGCTCCTCCTGTTTTCCCTTTTATCCCACCCAGTCTACAAGCCTATTGGCTGGTGTCACCCACAGCCAGGGAGGATCTTCCCCTCTTGGTTTGCTGGCTTACATGTCTGTCATCGATAGACACACCCACAATGGGGCTTTACTAATGTACCAGGTGTCCCAACACCCACGCGGTCACAGTCCACCCCTTGTCAACTTGACAACCAGACATTATCTCCTTAAAGCACACTTAATCTCCAAATACAACAGCACATTCATGGTTCTACCCAACACAGTGCAACCATCCTGCATACAAACAACAATGCATGCATTCTCTTCCTGGAATAGAAGCAAAGGTTTTCTTTGGGTGATATTCTTTTCTTGACATTTCATACTTAAACATTAATGTAGATATAGCAATACTTGAGTACCAGTATAAATTCAATCAATGTGATAAGATGAAGAAATAAAGTTATCTTATTGATACACGTGTCTAAATTACAATTACAATCTTCATTTCTATGACTGGTCACGTGGCCAAAGCTGGTATTTAGCACCATCTTTTACTGCTTCTCTATTGCCTTGGCCTTCAGCAAGTACCACGGGGTGTTCTTCACCACACCTTTATGGTAGGTTAAAACTTCAGTTACCAACAAATATCTTTTACCCCCAACAGGTCTCGTAAGGGTTAGTAAGGCTGATACTTCTTTTTTTAAAGTGATATCTGAGATTCATGTGTTTTACTATAAATAGATAACAAGAGATGTAATCATTTGTGAGACACAAAAATAGTATAAAATAATTAAAAATAATGGGGGTGATTAGGTCAGGAGGCCAAGTTTTTGTGAGGCTCCCTTGGCCCTTCCTGCCCTTCTGTGAGGCATGGCACAGTGAGAGGACACTGTCCATCAGGATGCAGGTCCTCATGCTAAGCCTGTTGGTGACTCGTTCTTGGACTCCGAGACAATTTTCTGTTGTTTATCAGCCACCTCATCTATGGTATTGGATGGTAGTTGTACAAAGGAGCAATACCAACCCAACTTCAAAGCTGTTGCAAAAAAAGATATACAATTTGGTAATAAAAATAATAACAATATATAGGATGCTAGCTATATATGAAAGGTTCTAAGTGTTTCCCATACATTTAATTCATTTAACCCTAACAACCCGATGTACTATGTTGTATAAATATAAGTAATTTCCATGATTAGTCAAACAGATGGCTTAGGCTTAACATAAAATTAAAGTTAGGCTGGTTATTAAAAGTTTTATTTGATCTGGAAATTTCACATTTTAATCAAAGGAACAATTAAAATTGTATGAGCGAATATTGCTCTGATGTTTTCTTTTATGAAATTGACAGCTACAATGCAATGGTGTCTTGTACTGAGAAATTCACTCCTGGTTTTGCATCAATCCTTAAAAAAATTTTTTTTAAAAATCCATAATTTTCATTCTTTGTTCTGTTAACATTAAAAGCTCCTTGGGCCAAAAGCAATAAGCATTTGTTTTGAATTCCTTATCTTTATTCTTGGCTGTAGAAATTGAAAATGCTTAATGTTATTCAGCATTTCTCTAAAGATATTTTGTGATTTTTTTTTTTTTTTTTTTTTTTGGTAACTTGAATGAACTCAAGGGCTCACGTGAATAAGCTCAATAAAGGAAGCATTCAAAGACACACTCTGTTACCCAAGGGCAATCACCAGTTTTTACTTTTCTCCTTTTTTTTTTTTTTGAGCAGGGATTGAGCCCAGGCCTTCACACCGAGCGATCTATTCATCCCATTTTTAGTGTCAAACAAAGTCTTGCTAAATTGCAACATTTCCCAGCCTGGGTTCAAACTTACCATCCTCCTGCCTCAGCCTCCCACAGTGCTGGGGTTATGGAGTACTTGGCTTCTTTCCTGTGTTCCTCAACAGATTTCAAAGATGATCCAATTAATAATCATCACATACATTTTAAATGCTTTTCTCCGCATGCTCCTCCCTCTACACCTGTCTCTCATCTCAGAGTTACCCCATGATCTCTGTTCCTCCATTTCTTGTATTCATCTCCCCACCAAACTACCTGGCACACCCTCCAGCTCTGCAGGATCTTCTCTTTTTTGCTCTCCTCCTTTGTTTTCATCATTTTGAATTCCTTCAAGAAAATGCTAGCCTGTTTGAGACAGCCCCTGATTCTAGACACTTGGGGTCTTGCACGTCTGATTAGTTAGTACTATTTACTCTACAGTAAAGACTGCATCAGTATCAGACTGAGGGTGAGATGCTAACACAATCTATTACAAGTTTTTGTTGAAACTGCAAGTCAGGAAATAAGCAAAATATTTGTATATATATTAATGCTATTTTGTTTCTTTATCCGAAAGAGTTGTACTGTGGTCTTTTATACTGATAAACAGTAGGCATCTTTAAAGCAATCACATCAGGCTATTAAACTCTGTGAAGTTTCACAGTGAAGACTCTTATTTATCTCTGATTGACCTAGTATTTCCTAGATAGATTGCAAATGGGTCCTTTTCATCTCCCTCTCTCTTTCTCATAATACCCATTAACAGTCATTTGGATGAAGTGGCTGTAAGTAGTACAAGATAAGATACAATAAGGGTAACCGAAGGTACATGGCTTGGTTGTAATAACCAAGAGCAGGAGCTTGAATGAGGTCTGCACTTTTCACGTGACTTGCTAAGTCACGTGGTGTCATATTTTGCTTTGTCTTGCAGTTGTGACATGAGATAAGTTTTGCAAAATAACCGCTGACAGGGTCTGTGTGGCCAGTATGTACCCAGAGACCAGCTGGACAACTGACTCTGGACAATAGCTGTTGTCGGATTTGATCTTGTTGGAATGATTTATGTCAGTACCTTCCTGATATCTTGATTTCCTTGGATAGTTACAGCCTTTGAGCTAGTGATGGCTACCGGCTGATTTGTTCTCACATAAGTTCAGCATCATGGGTTCAAAGGGTCTGATGATTACGGAGGGACTTGTCCACAGCCCAGGGTAACGTGTACCTGGATGTCGGGGCGGATTTGTATGTAGGATCATCTAGAAAAGACAGAAACAGATTCAAAGCCAATGTGCTCACGAGGCATCCAAGACTTGCAGGGATGCAAGAGGGGCGGCAGTTGACAAATAATTTGCAGACTGGTGAAGTTTTAGCTGGGCCTGCTGAAGTGGGGAATCTTCCTATACAAAGATATAGAAGATTAATTATTTACAATTAAAAGATAATAGATAAACAGATTTTAGACAACCCAAGAAGCTTATCTGAGGTTTTATCTCTTGTATTGCCTATTCCACCTTGAACTATTGATATTTGGAACAATGCCAGATATCACGGTTCAAATTTCTATCACTGTTTGGTATTTAAAATTTAAGATTTTCACTAAGCCAACATAAATGTTGGCACTGTTAACATTTTCACTTAAATTCTTTGGAGGGCTTTAGATGTCTTAAACAAATAGGCATTCAAAAAATTATTCAACTTATAAAAAATACATGTCCAAAAATAATGTTCAGGTTTATTATGTTATGTCCTTCATATGACAATCATTGGTGCTAGTGAACAAATTTTTCCAGTTCTCCTTCTGTGTATATATTAGGATTATGTATTTTTCCTGTCTTCCACAAAGTATGTCATGTGACTAGCTTGGGCTAAGGAAATACTGTACAATGTGGCTTCCGGGCAGAAATTTTGCGGAGCGTATAATTTTGTAGAGTAAGCAATTAAAATTTGTTGTTTTGGGTCATCTAGGTTTGGTATTGTTTATCACTGCAGTTTCACCCTGCTTATTCTGACTGATGCACCACAATGCAACCCCCATCCATAAAAGTCATGTAGTAAAAAACATTCATATAAAAATAGAGATATTACATTACATAAGCAAGTGCCAATTAAAAAATATTGTTCAGTCATTGCAAAGTACATGTGTAAGGAATGGGTTTTCCTGGGGGTGTACTGGGGCTTCAGAATTTTAAAGTTGAAAAAAAATTCTATGGAAAAGGTGTCTGGCACGTGTCCAGTGACAGATGAATGAATGAGCAAAATGTGGTATAGTCCCATAATGGAATAATAATTCAGCCTTTAAAAAGTGTACGCTGACATATGCTTCACCATATGAAGACATTATGCTATGTGAAATAAGCCAGTCACCAAAAATACAAACTCTACATTCTGCTTATATGAGTTACTCAGAGGGACCAGAGCCACAGAGACAGACAGAATGCTGGTTGCCAGGGGCTGGGAGGAGGAAGACCGGATGATATACAATGGGAATGAAGTCGGAAACGTGAAAAAGTGATACAGAGATGGAGGTATGTACAACATATACATGTGTGCCGTGCCACTGGCCTGTGCAATCTAAATGGCTAAGATGGTAAGTTTATTGTTGTACATATTTTGCCAAAATAAAAGGAGTTAAAAATATCTTTAGAAGAGGAATAAATGCCCTTTGCATTGAACTGCCCCTTAGGGACCCTTTTAGTTCTGTACCTGTAAGATAACTAAATGCTCTTTTGGGGCTGGTGGGGAATCAAGTCCTCTTTCTGGGTTTGGAGAGGCAATGGCGCATCCCCTCCAAGAACGGGAGAAACCTAGCAGTTTCTGTGTGGGCACATCCTGGGCTCAGGGGGCTCGGTCAGTGGCCAGGAGGGGTCAGCTTCACAGGGGTCTCTAAGCACAGCACCTGATCCAGCAGCTGGCATGCAATGGAGAAGAATCTATCTCTCCCAGGTACTCTCTCCAGATGTCTGACTGTCCGTCACCAGCAAAAGATGGCCAGTAGCCACCAAGAGAGGGTTCAATCCAGAACAAAAAGGCAGGGTCCCCAACAAGAGTGGTGGTTTCCTCCTTCAACGCATTAAATCAGAGGACTCTGCAGGAGATACGGAGGACCCTCAGTAGCCAGTCCAGTGGCTACATCCTCTCCTTCCCTCTAGAGGACAAAGCGCCCTTGGGGGTGTCATCATGGTGAAAAGGTAGGGTGAGCAAACACTGGAGCTGCACCCTGAAGACAAAAGAAGGTGACAAGCGAGGAAAACACACCCTACAAAGCTTTTCTCTGAGACTATAAGAGGGTCTGACAGGGTACAAGAGCAAATAATTACCTGGGAAGCCTGCAATTATGACTGTCAGATCTAACCTTTGTTCTGCTGCAAGAATCCGAGATACCCAGTCATCACTCGAGACCTGGCGCTTGCCCCGAGACAGAGCTGTGTCCTCCTTTGCAGAAGTCGGTGCTTCCTGCACTCTGTGCCTGGGCTTCCACAAGGCAGCACTCCCTCCACGGCCAACCTGCCAATGACCAGAAATTACGCAGGGCTCTGCGGCTCTGTCCTATAGCCCTTCCTGGATTTTCCCAACCCTCCCCTGCTAAAGAACCTACTACCCAGACCAGGATGCAAACGCTGCTCTTGGCATTTGTGAAAAAAAATGTGAAACAGGTCATTCAAAGCTGTGGCTATGGAGCAAAACTATTCCCAGTACAAGTTAGAAAATCCATGTGAATACAAGGTTCATGTGCACGGTGGGGGTGGGGAAAACATCACCCCTGTGCCTGTTTGCAAGGGATTGTATGTGTGTAACAGACAGATACTCATGCAAGACAGCGCCAGTGGTAGCCTCCCAGTACTTATGCATGGGGGTGGAAGTGTAAATCCATGCCTTAGCAATGTTTTATCCTTCTTCAGTCAAATGACATTTTTTTTCAAACATCTGTTCTGTGAGCAAAAGGGGGAGGGATATACATCAGCGTTAAGTGCTTAGGAAAGGAATTACAGAGAGACATTACCCACTTAACTTATCTCAGCTCTGTGAATGATTACAGGGTTGTGGCTATTTCTGGCCGCATCTGAGTGTCTGTGTAAAAAGTGGAAGTCAATCATTAAGTAGAACGGGCATTTCTGCCTTTAGTAATTTGCCTTGAGTCAGAAAGTCTAGACACCCTCTCGGGAATGTGAGGCATGTGGTGTATTTCTACGACCTTCCCAACTCTTGTAACCAGAAATGCAAACTGGAAAGTTCTAAAGCAAATGAGCTCTGCTTATCTTCATCAAGGCACCTAAAACTAAGTGGAAGCTCTCTGGTCTGATAACAGACACAGGCCAGGCCTTGGTCCTCCCGTGGCCAGGAAGCCCCTGTCAAGAAGGAGACCTTGGCCAGATCTGAGCTCCTCCAGCATCCTACTACAGCAAGCTGGGAGTTTAATCACTGTGTCCCAATGGCTCTGTCTATAAAACTGGCACACTCATTTAAACAAACAGCATAGTTAATGTTTATTATAAGCACTTGACTCATTTACATTTTGTTTTAGTTAGCTCTCCATTGCTGGTACTAAATAGCTGACCTACAAAATTCAAAGGAGGAAAGATTAATTTTGCTCACAGTTTCAGCTATTAGTCTGCAATCCGCTGGCTGCATTGCTTTCAGGACTATGATGTGGCAGGAATATCATGGTGAAAGCTGCTCATCTCATGGCAGCCTGGAAACAGAATGAGTAAGGAGAGAGCCAAAGAGAGAGAGAAGTGGATGGGGACAGTTCCCCCTTCCATGTCATGCTCCACTTACCTATTCTTGTTAGAGTTTTCAGTGCAATAAAAGAGAGAAATATAAAGTAAAAAGTAGCCTTTATTCCAAGGATATGGAGAGGAGTCTATGACCATAGGCACCTCTGATCGGAAGGTGGGGCATGGGATATACATATAACCTCTGACCAGGGGTGGCTCTTAGGGCGGGCACTGATGATACATGAGCACCTGATTGGAACTCTTTTCACACACACTGGGAAAGGGGAAGGAGGAAGTGACCTCAAGGTAAATATCCTTTGACCCACCTTCCATCGCCATAATATTGTATAGCTTATTCTAAGACAAAACTCTTTCATTCCCATCTTTTATTGTTAGGAGAAGGGCGAAGTCTCTCTCTTACTACTTCCTGCTGAAAGGGGGGTGGTTAAATTTGGGTTTAGGAAGGTTGATGGGATGATGGATGATGCTCATGCAGAAGCTGGTACCAGGTGTTTCAGCCAGGACAACTTTATCACTGGTGAATGCCTGCATCTTAGCCTGAGAACTGTGGCTGTGAGGCCTTGGTGAGATGGAGATGGGTGGGAGATAGAAGATAATGTGACCACTCGGGGTGGTTAGATTTAGGGTTTAGAGGGCACTGCTTAGCTTGAGTGATGTGGAACCAGGATGGCAGCCCAGCAACTTTGACCACTGCTGGGGTTGCCAAGAAGACCAGGCAAGGACTGCTCCACCTTGGTTGTAGTCCTTGGGATGATTTTCTGTAACAGGACTTTAGTAAGTACATCATCAGTCTCCTTGGTTGTGGGAAAGGCTGTTATCCATCCTGAAAAAGTACAAACAAAGGTGAGAAGATATTTGAGAGTTTTGTGGGAGGGCATGTGTGTAAAATCTACCTGCCAGTCCTGACCAGGGGTGTGTCCATGAAATTGATGAATAGGAAAGGAAGCGGGTGTTATGTGTCCCTGAGGAGAGGTTTTACTATAGAGATGACAGGTGTAAGTTGTTGAGACCTCAGAGTGTCTGGGTCAGTCTGCATAAACACAAAGGAATAAAAAAGTCATTTTTCAGATCAAAGACTGTAGAGCCAGTGGTGGAGGGAAGGATATGAGAGAGCATGGTGTAAGGGTTTGGTACCACTGGGTGGATTGGGCTAACAATAATGGCCAACAATCAATAACAGTGTTATTGATTACCTTAAGGTCCTGCACTAGAAGATAAGATGCATCAGGCTTGAGTACTGGGAGTATGGGAGTATTATAGAGTGAACGGATAGATTTAAGGAAAACGTTGTTTAAAAGATGCTTGACTATAGGTTTAAGTCCCTGTAAATGTTTGGGAGCTATAAGGATATTGAGGAATACAAGGAAAAATTGAAGGATTCCTGAGATGAATTAAAATAGGCATGGCATGGGTGGCATGGGTGGGACTCGAGGTATCCCAAACTATGGGATTGACTAGAGAAGAAGGGAGGGGAGGGGGTGGCTTTGTGTCACACTGTAAGAGTGTCTGGAGGACAGAGAGCTATGGGGAGGGTCAAGGTAAAGGAGAAGTTAAGCTTTTGAAGAAGATCCCTACCTAAAAAGGGGTGTGGGACATTTGGAATTATGAGGAAGCTATGGGTAAAGAAGAGAGTTTGGAGCAAGCATGAAATAGGCCCTGTCTGCAGGGGCTGCATAGGTTGGCCATAAACACCCACTATAGAGACTGAGGACTTAATATAATAGCCTGAAAATTCAGGAAGAATGCTATGCATGGCCTCTATGTCCACAAGTACAGAGAATGTCTTACCTGAGACCTCCAGTGGGACTTGGTGTTCTGAGAAGGACACCTTAATGGGGGCTGTGGACCCCGAGTTTATCAGTCTTCAGCAGCAAGTCCAAATAGATTAGTTAGTGATGAATCCAGTGGTGATGAGATCTCCTGTGAGGGCAAGGATGGCTTACCTGTGTGTGGCAGCCAGGACAGTCGCTCTTCCAATGGCTCTTGAGATTGCAGTAGGGACACGGCCCCAGAGGAATGCAGGGTTGCTCACTGTCCGTCTTGGTTGAAGCATGGTCTAGGAGGGGCTCGGGCAGCTCCACCTTGTCAGTTTACCTGTTTCAAAGCTCCAAGTGTCACTGCTAACAGATCAGATTGTTATCTTTTCTTTTGATTTTTATCTCTGTTGTTGAGGACATGAAGAGCCATATTAAGAAGGTCTCCCTGTGGGGTTTGAGAGCCAAGTTTAGCCTTTTGTCTTGGGATCTAGCCCACAGTGGAAGGTATCTGTCTCCTCCACAATCACCTTAAGTAGGTGTACAGCTTTAAGTTTAAAGGAGACAAAGGCGAAGAATCAATTAAGTATGCAGGAGTCAATACAATCAATAGGGTATTTATGAGTATAATTTTAATAATGGCTTCCCATAAGGAAGACAAGGATAAGGTCCAGGGAATTTTAGAAACTGACATGTCATTCATTTGTCATACACACATTTAGGTTTTACAATTTTATAAGAATCTCCTGTGCTGTTAGAATGTCTAATGCCATTTGATTTTTGGAGAATGGCCTGTTTTATTAATTTTACCTTTTTATTTAGGAGAGAGATAAGCTGTAGTATCATTTAAATCCAGTTGAGTATAGTTAATTATGGCCCTAATATGTGTTATATAACCTTTTTCTGGAAAAGCTCTGATGGATCCCAGTAAAAGGAATTCAAAAGGAATTTATAATTATCTCTCAGAAGGGATTTTGTCTAATTTTAGCATCACTTTGACCACCTGGCAACCTAGATGGAAACATGCTTTTTTAAATCTATAACCCAAATAAGCCTTGATTAGATGATCTGAAAATGTAAAAGAGGAGGAAAAAATTGTTGAGCTCAAGTGAAAAGGAACAGCTGTTTACAGAGCAGGCAAATGGACAAACAGACAACAGATGTATAGACTGACAATCATCTTACAAAATCAGAGTGCACTCTAACATATTTGGCCAATTTGAACTATAATAAATAGACTAGTGTGAATCTTTTGTAGACTAATTAATAGAGATCTCTTGAAATAAGAATAGCAGAAAAGACACCTAATTTATGTTTTGACTGTCCTTTATGCGAGCTGCAGCAAGATGGTTGCTGGGAAGCACGAGGCTTGCTGGAACGCTGGGACACATGAAACTGGGTGCCATGAGCCTGCGGAGAAAATGGTGATGCAGGGGAAGAGGACAAAGAAGCCTCCTGTGGAATAGATGGCTCATGTGGATGGGACTGAGAAGGTGGAGACTGGGGAGAGACACTAAGGGAAGGATTAGAGGCTGCTGTGGGTGAGGAAGGGGGAGAGGATGGCGCAGGGGCGCAGAGACCTCTGGCTGAGAATACTGTAGGGTTTGGTATGAGAGATGCAGGGGAGGAGCCATAAAGACAGGAGCCATCATCTAAGGGGTCCGGTGGGAAGGGAGGGAGGGAGATCCTGGGGGAGCAGAGTATTTGGGCCATCACAGAAGACAGAGTGAGAGGAGGACGCGTCCCCAGAGTGAAAAGGGCCTAAAGATGAGGGGTTTCTGCCAACTTGCCGCCATTGTGACAAAAGCATAAATACACGATCAGCTGTTTGGTTTGTATAGCCCAGAGGCCAAGAGCACCGAGGCGCCCCAGAAGTGTGTTTTTCAGGGGACAGGAAATGGTCCCCATGACCGAATTAAAAGTGAGCCAAAAGAACAATTTTGCCTCACGGGCCCCCACAGAACGTGAAAATTGTCCCAGATCACATTTAACAAAGGAGATCCTCACCTATTTTGAAAGTGTGACAAAGAAAGTCCCAACACTTGTTCTCTTCAGCCATCATCAAAGAATTCGCGGCAGGGGTCCTGGGGAATAAAAATAGCAGTTTTGCCTCACGCTGTACAGCCTAAGGAGTACGTAAACTGTTATCCCAAGCTTGCAAAGTTTAGGAACAGAAACAGAAAACTATGGAGTGATGGCAGCTCATCTGTGATGAGTGAGGAAGGTCGCTGTTGCATGTGGATTAACAGAGGCGAGTAAACAGTCCTGGAGGAAAAAAAAGGTGGATCATAGACAGGGGAGCTCCAACTGGGAGGGACTTCTAGGAGCTAACACACTCTGCCATCTGAGTCACAAGGCACCATTATGTTAGAGTTTTCAGTGTGACAAAAGAGAAAAACACAAAGTAAAAAAGTAGTCTTTATTCCAAGGACAGGGAGAGGAGTCTATGGCCATAGGCAGCCTGGTTTCCACTGACCAGAACGTGGGGTATGGGATATATAAATATATATAACCTCTGATGGGGTGGCGCTTAGGGCAGGCATTGATGACACATGAGCACCCAATTGGAACTTTTTTCGCACACTGGGAAAGGAAAAAGGAAGTTGTAATAGGGGAAAGAGGAAGTGACCTCAAGGTAAACACCCCTTGATCCCGCCTCCCACCGCCATAATATCGTGTAACTTATTCTAGGCCAAAACTCTTTCAATTCCTCCCACCAGACTCCACTTCTAACAGCCAGCACAGTCAGGTTCAAATTCATCAATGGCGTTAATCAACTGATAAGCAGACCTCTTTGATCTAGTCATCTTCAAAAGCTCTGCCTCTGTACACATGAGGTTTTGGGGAACACTTTGATCCAAGCTCTACCACTCTTCTTGGTGATGCTGAGTTCCATAGTTGGGATATGTCATTGGTTCTAGGATATTCATTTTTTTTCATATTTTAACATTCTCTGTTGTAGGGATTCAACAGATAATTGATAAGGAAGTGTGTAAGTCATGCCTGAATGTAAGTTTTTAAGTCTTTCTTAGTAGCACATAAATTGATGGTGTGTTAGAATCAGGGAGGAAACTGAGGCAGAGATATGGAAACTGAGACTCGGATAGATTAAAAATATTACCTAAGATCACCAAGCTAGGAAGTGGCTGGCTCAAGAATTGAACCTAAGTTCTTCCTAAAGTTGCCTTTCTTGTAAGGAGTCAAACTTCCCAGTTTCATCCTCCTTCCTGTGTTTACTAGCTGTGTGATCTCAAGCAAGTTCTTAACCTTTCTGTGCCTCAGCTTTTTCATCTGTAAAATGGTGATAATACTAATAGTGACTACATAATAGATTATAATGGGGATTGAGCACGTTCTTACTCTTTAAATAGTGCCTGAATGGGGTAAGTGTCCACTAGAATGTAGCTGTCATTAGCTTTCATTATCATGCAGAGAAAACCAGCATGATTAGTGAGGAAGAGGGGACAGCTGGAGAAAGGAAGAAGAATGGAAAAGCAAAAGAAGAAAATGTTCATCTGTGCGTCCCTAAACCCCCTTGGCCCTAGGATGGCTATCGTACCATAGTTTAGGAAATGCTCTTTTTGTTCTGTTACCTCCCAAACAAAGATACCAGGTCACTTTCTCGCCACTGGCACTCAATGCTCTCCACACAATTGAAAGGAAAAGAGTTACTGTGGGTCACAGTTCAGGGCTGGCTCAGAGGCAGAAATGGTGAGGAGGGACAGGCTGGTGGGAGAAAGCTCTGGAATCACAGAATCATGAAGCAGGGAGAGAAGGGAGAAGCTGGGAGGGAGTGACAGCCCTTGTTGTGGCTTATGCATGGTGTCCCAGGCTCCCCAGAAGCAGAGTGACAGAGAGAGAGCCAAGACTCAGCAAGGCAGCGACAGCAAATACAGGTGGCACTGATGGCAGCACCAAGAGGAAGACATTGCCCTGCAGCCACATCCCGGCTCCCTGGTGGCAGGGTGGGGACTCTACATGTCTGGGAAAAATAAGCATGAAGGCGTAGGGTCCCCACCATCACTACAGACTGAGAGTCCAAACTGCAGGACCAGCCTACAGATCTCGCAGGCATTAAATTCATTTGAGGTCTGCACATCTGCATTGCTGCAGAGCAGGAACTGCCCTGGGCCCCCTAACCTCCACCCAGAGCCCAAGCTGCTACAGCATGATGCCATCCTACGACCAAGGCCACTGCTAGAGTCCCCCCCATCCCGGGGACAGTGGGCAGCTCCTTCCTCACCACTGCTGCTCCAGCAGCCCCAGAACCACTGATGCTCCCCTCCTGGGGGGGAAGGGGAGGCTCGGTAGCCCACAGCTCTGGGGTCACCACTACAGCCTGGGAGACAAGTCAACCATTGAAGTCAATACACTAGAGACCTATGAGATCAAGGGAGACCAAATAGAAAAAAGAGTATCTAAACTTGAAGGCAAGACTTTTGAATAATCCAGTCGTGAAAAGACAAAAAATCCAGTCATAGAGGGAGGAAGACAGAGGGGAGGGAGGTGAGAAGGGAACAAAGCTTAACGTAGAACCACTATATGATCCAGTAATTCCACTACTGAGTACATATTCAAAGGAAATGAAATAACTATCAGAAATATTTGCAGTCTTATGCTCATTGCGTGTTATTCACAATAGATGAGATGTTATTCAGTCCCAAAAGAATGAAATTCTGTTACTTACAATAGTGTGGATGAAACTGGATGACCTCATGTGAAATGGATTCAGTCAGGTAAAAAAAACTAATGCTGCATATTCTTACTCATTTGTGAAAGCTAAAAAGAATGATCTCATAGAAAAGGAGTAGAATCATGGTCACTGGGGATGGGGAAAGGGAAAGGAGAGGGGAGAAAGAGAGAAGCTGGGTAAGAAGTATTAAAATACAGATAAAGAGGGGCAGTTCTTATAGGGTAACTGTAGCCTACAGTTATGGCATATTTCAAAATACTAGGAAAGAGGAGCCCGAGGCTTTACAACATGTAGAAATGAGAAATATTTGGGGAAGTAGAGATGTTAGTTATCCTGATTTGATCATTAGACATCGTACCCATGTATTGAACTATCATACTGTACCCCATGAATATGTGCAAACATTGTATGCCCACTAATCATAAAATATACAATGCTTATGTTTTAAAAAATTGGATGGGGTGGATCCTAGACCAGGAATTATCTCTCAGGTCGGAACTGGGTACAGCAGTTAGGAAGGACTAACTCTAGTCTTATTTATACTTAAAAGTCATCAGTGATGGTATTGAGCCTGAATCAAGTTAACATTGCCTAAAAATGTTTACAAGCAAATTTCAGAGTAATGTGGGATTAAAATGCCTGCCAAAATTTTGAGAGGCTCCTTATCTAGCAGCATAGAATAGGATCAACTACAAATAGTTTGAAGCGATCTTTGCAAGACACCGGGCATGGTACCAACCAGCAAAGCCCCCTCCTAATGGCTGCACTGCTCAAGCGACATGAGCTTGTGTGTTTTCTAGGTGTCCTTCAACTTCTACATGAAACGATGACTAGAAATCACTAGTTCACATCACAGAGAAGCCCCCTAGAAGAAAAAGAAATCAAAGCTCATCCATATGTAAAAGATGGAGGTTGTTAGCCTGTCCTACAAAAGGCGAGTGAAATATAGACATTAGCAGGTTCAGAATAACTCATTAAAATTCCCTCAAGATTAAACAAAATGCAAAACGTGGGCATCACTGAATGTAACAAAGACTTCCCACGCAAGAACCCCGGCATGGCAGTGTTGTAAACACAACTGTGATTTACAACCACATGGTGTCTGCATTTTCATCAAACGTATTAGCCAGTGGTTTCTTTTGGGTCCCTGTTACATAATTTACTTTTTCCGTTAACTGTTCTCACCATTAATATGAAACAAAAGAATTAAATTTCTAAAGCATATTCCTTGCTTTTAATATACTTTGAGAGAAAATGGATTTTATAGAAGTACTTAAAGATTTCCCAGCACTTCTAGGAACTTAATTATTGAATAAATTGAGAAATACATGTATTACTTGGGTCCTATGAGAAATCCAGAGGGGAGAAAAAAATCGGTCAAATCACTGGGGTCTAAGGGGGGAAACAGGAAGCTGGTCCCAGACTAACTGGGCCTCTGTCTCCAGAGCTGGGAGGAAGCCCAGTTCCTCCACAGTCACCCTCAAAAGCGTCTCTGGAACTCTTCACTTGTAAGCGCCTTCCAGGCTTCAGTGGCACTTTATGTGGGATTTTTGTGGAGGTGGCCAACCACTGTCCTTTTCAAATGGCCAGAAATCAGGTGCAGTCCGATTGGCTCATCAGCCCAAATGTGTTCAAACAAGCTGTGACTTGGAAGTGACAAGTCTGTCTTTCTCATCTAGTTCATAAACACTCCCTAGGGGCTCGAATACAACCACGCACGAAGTTCATGGAACATGTGGGAGGAGAGGGGCGGGGGGAGGAAGCCTAGGAAAATATTAATCCTGCTGGCACGCAGCCACGGATTGGAGCTAATGAAGCTGGCACTCCTCCTTCCAAGTTCGATTTAAAGTTTAACAGCAAGAGGGAAATACAGATAAGGAATTAATTCCACCTCTTCTATTGACAGCTACGTTCCAGGACAACCAAAAAAATTCTAGAGAAAAGATCTGATCTCCAAGTGTTCCCTTCTGTGTAATTGTCCTCTTCCTTCAGCACCAAAGAATAGTCAGCCTATAAGAGGAAAGGAAAGTGGGCAAAGAAAAGGAACGATCCATATTTTCTTTGTTTATATGAGTCAGAAGTATAATACAGAAAAATTAAAAAAGAATGGCAAGAAAATAATATCACTTTGTAAGGGTGACACCAAGAGCTTAGCTGTATTGTATTTTGGCATGTATCCTGCAACATGTTTGTATATTATTTGTGAAAATATAAATTTATATAGGGACATAGAAGTAAACATCCACACGTAAAATATATTTTCCTTCTAAATGATGTACTATTGATGCTCTTTAATAATTTTGTTTTTGTTAACAATAATGCGTACTTTACGTGTCAGTAAACATGTATTTATTTTATAGTTTTAAATGGCTATTTGATAGCATTTTC